TGCTGCCACTTTGCTCCTTGCCGCCCTCTCTCCCCAGCGAGTCATCTCTCACAGTCCTTTCTCTGTGTGCCCCTCCTCGTCGTGCCGGCTGGGGGCAGAGTGTGTGGACAGCTCACTCGGGGCCCGGCACGGAGCCCGGCCCGCAGGACAGAGAGGCGGATTCCCTCGGGCGGGTCTGCCGGGCCCCACGGCCCTGCTTCCCTTTCTCTGCGTGTGTGTCCGCTCGCTAGATGTGCTGTCAGCCGTGGCAATGACCGTTCCACGGGCAGGCCCGGCTCCTCCAGCCCGTATGCCCTGCTGGCCCCAGAGCGTCCCCCAGCCCGTGGTTTGTGACGCTGTCTGTTCAGTGGCGTGCTCCAGGCGGGTGGACGGGGGAGATTAGCCAGCGTCTTTCCTGTGACTGTCGCCTCTCTCGGTCACTGCGACAGCCAATCTCATCTTAGCGAGTGACCCGGATGGTCATCCTCAGAACATCCCGGCTGAGAGGAGATCCAGGACCCGGGATCAGGCCTCGACGCGCCCTCTCCTGACCGCCCACCTCGCAGGGGCTTGCACCTGTCGGCACCACGCTGGCCCCAGAAAGGGAGGGAAGGGGAGCTGAGGCACCTGGCAGTTCCGTTTTAGTTTTGTTTTTAGTCATTTTGTCTTAAAATTTTTTTTTAATATATATATTTTTATTTTTATAGAGAGGAAGAGAGAGGGATAGAGAGTTAGAAACATTGATGAGAGAGAAACATTGATCAGCTGCCTCCTGCACCCCCCCCCTCCCAATGGAGATGTGCCTGCAACCAAGGTACATGCCCTTGACTGGAATCACACCCGGGACCCTTCAGTCCGCAGACCAATGCTGAGGCAGAAGAGCGTCCGGTGGGTTCATACGACGGAAACTTGAGTCGGTTCAGCTGGATTCACGGGTTCGCGTGGGGTCCCTGGGGTCCCGCTCCCTCTTCACCTCAGCTCTCTTTTCTGCCATCGCCCTCCCTGCTCCCCTGCGTGGCAGTCTCCCCTGGCAGGGACCAGATGGCCACCAGCGCTGCAGGGGAAGGGAGGGGTACGCCATCAGCATTTCCTCAGCGTGAAGGAGGGGTGCTCCACCAGCATTTCTCCCCCAGGAGAACTGAGTGTTACTGGTTCTGATTGGGCGGGGTCTGCCCTATGGGAGATCTGATTGGCCAGGCCTGCCCACACCCAGGCTTAGAGCCAGGAGAAGGGGATCTGAGGTTGGGCAGGCACCCAGGACAGCCACATAGCAACCCCCCCACCCCCACCCAGGTAGCTCTGGACAGCTCCTCAGCCCAGTGTGGCGTCCCCTGGGGCCCCCGAGACCCTCCTGGGGAGGGACGAGTATGACACGCTCCAGAGAGCTTTGTGCTGTGTAGCCCACAGGGTCCTAGTCAGAGGTCCCTGCGGAGACGTGTTCTGTGACAATAGTTAGCGCCCCCCAGGTGACCTGTTCGGGGTTTTCCTATTTGATGCTGTGGCAGTCTCCACTGCCCCTCCTGATTCCCTCCCTTCTCCACCACCCCTCCTGATTCCCTCCCTTCTCCACCGCCCCTCCTGTTTCCCTCGCTTCTCTGCAGCTTCACTCCATTCTGCAGAGCTTGGCTTCCTTCTACATTGTCTTCAGTCTTCGCTCTGTGCCTGGATATGCAAATTAACCGCCATCTTTGTTTGCTTAATTTGCATGCTCACTCCTGATTGGCTGGTGGGCACGGCTTGTTATCATAGCAGAGGTACGGTCAATTTGTGTGTTTCTCTTTTATTACATAGGATTTGTTGTTACTCTCGGAACTGCTCGGCCGCTGTCATAGTTGAGGCTGAAAGTTTCTCCTGCCTCAGGGAGCAGACTGGACCCCTGCAGACCTCCACCCTAGGGTGGCCTGGGCCGCAGGAACCCCAGTCTGTGCCCTGGAGTGCAGAGGCTGGCTTCCTCAGCTGATCCTCCGATTCTAGCGCCCTGCAGCGTGGGGCAGGGTCCGACCTCACAGAGATTAGAACTCCTGCGGCAGCCAGGCCCCCTAGGGGCGGTGATGGTGCACTGTAACTCCCGGCCTGAGGGACAGCGATGTGACTGGAGCACCCACAGGTGCACCAGAAGCCGTGACCCCTGCCGGGGGCTCCCGGGTTTGAGGCGGTCAAGCCCGTTAGAGCCTGAGGCCACCGTCCTGGGCCCATTCCCTCCTCTCAGTCAGGGGACGGGGAGCAGCCAGGGAGGTTTGCTGGCTCAGGTTAAGGGTCCAGCAAGGCACCTGGGCCCAGGAGGGGCTCTGAGTTGGGGGCCGGGTCTCATGGCCAGCCTGGCTGTGGCAGTCAGAGAGACGGGCCCCGGGCAGCCCCGAGAGCCCCATCGCAGTGCTGAGCAGAGTGGCCGAGGGCACAGGATGGACCCACGGCTCCTAGCAGGTCACCTGGGACTCTGGACTTCCTTCGTCTTTGTCACTGAGGGCCTGGGACAACCCCGTGGGGCCTTCGTTTCACTGCCATCCGCTCGCTTCTGCTTCTGACATCGGACAAAGGAGTGCCGTCTGGAGGGTGTGTAGACGTTTGAAAACCCCACTCTTTTTAAAGCTTGGCCTGAGGCAGGATCTCAGAGGGACTCTGGACTAACTGTCTGGTTCACAGCCTCACTCTGCTACTTATTAACAGGAGACTTTGGGCAAGTTCCATAACCTCTCTGGGCCTCAGTGTCCGCATCCCTATCGGGGGTGGGGAACGTGTGGCCCGCGGGCCGCCTAAGGGAGATCACTGGGTCTGGCCCTGCCAAGGCGTTAGGGGTGAGTGGATTAAATATCTGATCAAGTATAGCAGGCTCATTTTTAAGTGGATAATTGTATATGGGGCCACAAATGATGCTGTAACTATCCAAATGGCCCTTGGCAGGAAAAAGGCCCGCCACCCCCTCACCCCACCCCCTGCTCTGTCATGTGGCGATGGCGGTAGCGGCTTCTACATAAAGAGTAAATGAGATAACCCGGACTCGGTGCGTGCTAGCTCTTCTCGTCACGACGTAGGGATGCACGCTCTTCAAAAGGAAAGGCCAGCCGAGACCGGTTTGGCTCAATGGATAGAGCGTCGGCTTGGGGACTGAAGGGTCCCGGGTTCGATTCCGGTCAAGGGCAGGTACCTTGGTTGCGGGCATATCCCCAGTGGGGGGGGTGCAAGAGGCAGCTGATCGATGACTCTCTGTCATCGATGTTTCTAGCTCTCTATCTCTCTCTCTTCCTCTCTGTACAAAATCAATAAAATATATTTTAAAAAAAAGAAAAAAAAAAGAAAAGGAAAGGCCAGATGGGTAATCCCCCAGTTTTGTCACCCAGTGGACGTTGTCCATTCCGGAGTGGGGGTTTTTGTCTTGGGAGAGTCTGTGGAAGGCCAATGATCCCCTGAAATTGTACAGGGCAGTGCCTAGACCCCTAATGTAAGGTGACCAGACATCCCGCTTTGGGGACTTCTTTTAAAAACGCCGCGGGATGCGGGACAAATTGTTAAAAATCGGGACTGTCCCACCAAAAGCGGGATGTCTGGTCACCTTACTCTAATGGTAAGCTGGATAATTAAATTATTAATGAAACCTCCCCCCTCCTCCCTCTCTCTCTCTCTCTCTCTCTCTCTTATTCACACACACACACACACACACACACACACACACACCTCCCAATCCAGAACCTGTAATTGTGTCACCTGATATGGTCAAAGGCCTTTGCAGAGTCACGTTCTATAGGAGGCAGGCAGGAGGGTCCCTCTGAGAGGAAGGATGGAGCGGAGGTCGGAATCGGTAGAGTGGGCAGGGGAGGCAGGAATGCAGGGGCCTCTGGGAGTTGAAGAGGCCAGGGCCTGGGCTCCCCCGGTGCCCTCCGGAAGGAGTGCAGCCGCCCGCACCTGGCTCGTAGGCTCTGACCTGCAGACTGTAAGGGAGTGACCTGATGTTGCTTTAAGCCACCACGTTTGTGGTCACTTGTCACAGCAGCACGGGAAGCAAACATGGCCCTTGTCACGGAGGGTCCGTGGTTTTCTTGTGATGCAGGAAGGGAAGGCTGGGTACTGGGAACCACGAGCAGGCGAAGCAGAACCACGCCACCTGGGATACCAGGCTGGCTAGCCGGTGCCTCCAGCCCAGGCGGGAGAAGGGGAGATCCGGGGGCACTGTGCCCGCAGGTGACACCGCCCTCAGCCGGCGGTGTCTGGCGCACCCGCAGAGGCCATTGCCTTTTCCCGCACTTCGCTGGCCCGCCCGGCGTTTATGGTCAGAACGCAGAGAGGAAGGCCGGCTGAGAGATGCCCTCAGAAGCCCCTGAGGAACCATCGGCACCTCAGGAGGTTCACCGGCGGCTTATCCAGAGGATTGTCTGCGAAGACAGTAAAAGGAGCCCTAGCGGCTTCGGCTCAGTGCATAGAGCGTCGGCCTGTGGACTGATGGGACCCAGGTTCGATTCCAGTCAAGGGCACAGGCCCAGGTTTTGGGCTCCATTCCCCAGTAGGGGGCATGCAGGAGGCAGCTGATCAATGATTCCCTCTCATCGTTGTTGTTTCTGTCTCTCTCTTCCTTTCCCTTTCTGAAATAAATAAATTTATAATATATATATATATATATATATATATATATATATATATTTTTTTTTTTTTTTTTTTTTTTTTTTTAAAGAAAGAAAGCAAAAGGAGTCTTTTTTCAGTTCCAGGAGACTCTAGGATTAATGTTGGGGTTTAGGGTTAGGGTTATGCAAATGTCCTCCTTCCCTCGGTGCGCCATGCTTGAGCACTTACTGTGTACCCAGCGCTGGACAGTTAACGTGGATAAAACATTCACTCTTCAGCCCTGTGAAGGGGGTTCTGCCTGTCTAATCACCCCTGGCAGGGAGGGGGTTAATTCCAGCCCTCCACAGCCTGTGCCTCGACACCACCAGGGGTTCCAGGGGCCCCCCCCCTCCCAGACTGCGGGGAGCCACGGGGGCGAAGGCATGGAAGCACTGGCCGTGCGGGGGAGCTCCTGAGCACTCGGCCGAGGGCAGTTCTTGTTGTTTTTTCCCCCGACGTGAAGGAGGTGCCGAGCCCCCCCAGAGCGAGCCCCACTCTCCTCGGCCTGCCCCTCCCCTCCCCCGCTCCGGCAGGCCGCCATGCTTCAGCCTCAGTTCCAGTTTTATGATTAAACATCCCGGCGTCAATTATTTACAATACTGCCAGATGAATATCAGGGCTGCAGAGGCCTGCTGAGTCACATGGGGGAAGCTGGTTTTTCTGGAGGGGAAAGGACACGGAGGACAATAAGGAATCTGCCTCCTGCCCACAGGGACCAAGGTCAGCCCCGAAAAGGCTTCCCGCAGCCGGGGCATGGGGAGGGACTCTCCATGGGCACGGGGGGGGGGGGGGGGGGGGAGAGGCATGGGAGTCTGTGTGTGGGGGTGGAGAGGCATGGGAGTGGGGAGGAAGGGAGGGAGGACGACAGTGTGCTAGCTCTGGAGCCAGACACATCTAGCTTGAATCTTTGCTATGTTGTTTGCTGTGTGACTTTGAGCAGGTATCTTAACTTCTCTGAGCTTCAGTTTCCTCGCCTGTGAAATGGAGGTTGTTCAGCTTTCTCACTAGGGTTCTCGGGAAACTTAAATGTGCTATGAAATAATAAGTCTAAAACATAATCCTATTCAGTGAATCATGGTAATAAGCATTAATCCACATATATAAGGTATGCTGATTTTACAAGTAAATAAAATGACTAATGGTAATACGTGCATTGGGAAGCTCAGGGCCTGGCCCTTGGTCAGCACCTGGGAGGAGGGTAAATGTTGTTGTTACCATGCCAAGATGAGAAAGGAATTGGGCCGAAACCGGTTTGGCTCAGTGGACAGCACCGGCCTGAGGACTGAAAGGTTCTGGGTTCGATTCCGGTCGGGGGCATGTGCTTTGGTTGCAGGCACATCCCCGGTGCAGGGTGTGCAGGAGGCAGCTGATGGATGTTTCTCTCTCATCGAGGTTTCTAACTCCCTATCCTTCTCTTCCTCTCTGTAAAAAATCAATAAAATATATTTTAAAAAGAAAAAGGAATGGATGTGACAAGTGGCTTTCTAAAAATTGGAAGCAGGAGGGCCGGGGGCTTGAGAAAGCAGCCCTGGCTGGAATGCTTCCAGCAGAAATTGGAGGGAGAAAGAAGGGGGAGGGGGGGAGGCAGAGGACGGGACGAGGTCAGCTGTGTGCCAAGCGGGCTCCTGGCAGAAGGTCTGGGAGCCACTTCCATGGCTAAAAAAGAACATGTCCAGATATGGGCAGGAGAAACTTTCTCCCGCCGTGTGCTAATCTCCAGCATCAGGGCCGGCCCGCCAGCGGCCTGGGAACAGGGAGGGCCCTGAGCCGGGAGCTGGCGGCCTGGCCCGGCCCCAGAGGTCCCCCTGCCACCGCCACACGCCTGGGCTTCGGTTAAACCCCCTCACCAAGGACCACGGAAGCCTGGGGCCTGTTTTGTCCGCGGGCCGGGGTCCTGAGCCCACGGGAACTCGGGGTGCCCGTGGATACAGCCCGGGAGCGAGTGCCTTTACCCCGGTTTCATCCCGGCAAAGAGCGGTGCGCACCTGGCTCCCGGAGGGCCCCGGGTTAACGTGTAACCGGGTGGAGGAGGGCAGCGCCCAGCCCCCGCCAGCCTGGCACACGGGCAGTGGGTGCAGCCCTCACGGGATCGGTGTGATCGGGACGAGGAACTGTGCCCCATAAGCCAGCTATCGGGGAAGCAAACAGTCAGCGGGGCGGGCACCGAGGAAGGTGCGATCTTGAACGTTGCCCGCTTTCATTTTTCACTTCCTGTGCCCGCTGAGCCGCACACGGCGGCTGAGGACAACGCTCGTTTGTTCTCGGCGGTTCCGGAGGTCGGAGTCCACACTCAGCCGGTTCCATGGCAGGAACAGATCCTTCGGGGCCTCTAGGAGCCCCGTGCCCCCTCCGTTCACGGCCCCTCCTCTCGTCTCGCCAGCCTCTTGCTTCCGTCGTAGGTTGTACGTCCTGCTCCCTCCTGTGGCGACACTTGGGGTTGTAATCAGTGGATCCACCTGGGTAACAACCCCAGCTAACCTGCCCATCTCAAGATCCTTCATTCATCACATCCGAAAAGTCCCTTTTGCCACGTAAAGTGCCAGTCAGGGTCCCAGGGACTAGGGTCTGGATAGCTTCGGGGGCCATTCCTCAGCCCCCCCACATGCCTCTCCCCGAATTCAGGGTGAGAAACACAGGGTGGTGAGTGGCAAATGCCTCTGAGCTGGACCCCAGATTCTCCTCCCCCCTCAGTGTGAATGGCCTGGAGTCAGCCCCACACCCCCCCCCCTCCCCCCTGGCCTCTGTAAGAACAGATGGGTGCTCGCCTCCCTCCACGGGCTGTCGTCAGCGGCAGGCGCCCGGGGAGTCATTGCTTTCAGCCTCCTGTCCCTGCCTTGGGCTTGGTGCAGGCTCCCTCTGCCTAGAACTGTGGTCAGCAAACTGCGGCTCTCAAGCCACATGCGGCTCTTTGGCCCCTTGAGGGTGGCTCTTCCACAAAATACCATGGCCTGGGCGAGTCTATGTTGAAGAAGTGGCAGTGGAAGAAGTTTAAGTTGAAACAATTTGGCTCTCCAAAGAAATGTCAATCGTCGTTCTGTTGATATTTGGCTCTGTGGACGAATGAGTTTGCCGACCACTGGCCTAGGAAGCCCTTCTCCCAGGTTTCCGTACGGTTCCCCTGCAGGTCTCTGCTCAGACCTCTTTTCTCGCTGGCTGTGTTGTCTGCCCATCATATTTTTAACAATATATTTTATTGATTTTTTTACAGAGAGGAAGAGAGAGAGAGAGAGAGCCAGAAACATCAATGAGAGAGAATCATCCATCAGCTGCCTCTTGCACACCTCCTACTGGGGATGTGCCTGCAACTAAGGTACATGCTCTCGACCGGAATTGAACCTGGGACCTTTCAGTCCTCAGGCTGATGCTCTATCCACTGAGCCAAACTGGTTTTGGCTGCCCATCATATTTTAAAGTCACTGCTTCCGGCACCGCCGCCCACCTCCCAGCACCATTTCCCTCCAGCCTGACCTCCTTCTAGCATGTTCTCCAGGCTGGTTCTCTGTGAGCTCCATCGGGGGACAGGCCTCCTCTCTGTTAGGGCCATGCTTCTCTCCCCAGCGCTAGAGCACGTGGCAGGTGGCAGGTGCTCAGTTAATACTCTGTGGAGTGAATGAATAAACACTCAACACGTTGACCTCGTTTCGCATAAAAGCCCCATGAGGTAGACCCCGTCCCGTTCCGCTCTTCCCATGCGCCACGGGGGCTGGAGGAGGTAAGAATTACGATGTCTCCGTAGCTGTTGGGGGCAGAGCTGAGCTAGGAACGCAGCCTCCTGCAGGCCCCCACCCCGGGATGGCCTCCGCGTCGGGGGGCGGGGGGTGTCTGCGCTCAGTTCCAGCTCCCCCTCTGCCCTCTTCTACTTTTTGCTGCAAAATGCCTCTTTGGGACGAGGGACCAATTGAGTCACGTCCGTGTCCAGACGATGCCCGGGGGCACAGGAGCCGGGCAAGCAGCCAGTGCTCTGACCGGGTGCCTCCAGCCTCCACTCCTGCCTCCCAGATTCCGGCCCGAGCCTCGGGCCTGATGCTCTGGTCCCTGGAAGGTCCTCGCGCCCAGAGGGTCGCCCCGGTGGCCGGGTCATGTGGCCAAGCTTCGTTACAGGGATTGGCCCTGCGTGGCGTAGCTAAGCTTGGCCGGAAGGCTGGGGTTCCACTGCCCGCAGGGATGAGGAAGGTCCCAACAGGGGATTTTGTGCACAGGACACCCCTCAGGAGCTGTGAGGCCTGGGGCGAGGGCCTCGACCTCTCTGCAGTCAGGGACAACACGGACCAAGGTGAGGCCGGTCACACCTCCTCGGAAGCTGGATGGGCAGAGTAAACAAGCTCGCGTGTGCAGAGCACTCCGTGTGAGCCCGGAGGCGGCAGATCTGTCTGTTGCTGAGCAGATGCGGGGCCTGCAGGCTGGGCCGGACAGTGGCCAGCACCCGGGCTCAGCTGCCCAGCCCCGCTTGCCGGATGGAGAAGCCACGGCTGGCTCATCCCCGGGCCTGGAGGAGGGTCCAGGGGTCAGGGTCACTCTGAGTGGACGGTGACAGGAGCTCTGGCCGCTGCCCTGCCCCCGTGAGCACCAGCGGGGAGCAGGCAGAGATGTCACGTTTCCCGAGAAACACGGATTGGGGCTGGAGACCGGGCGCCCGGAGCCGGCCTTCCTGATGGGGCCACGTGCAGGCCCCCGGCCAGAGGAAGACATGCCCCCCCACCCCCGTCAAACTCCCAAAGAAAAGATCTCGGATTGGTTCCCGGCTCCCGGAGTCTTCAGAGGGAGTGTGTCCTCCCTAACTTCTCAGCCAGCAGCCCCGAGCTGTCAGGACATGTACCACCACCCAGGCTGGGGGGTTGGGGGGGGGGGGTGGCTGCCTCTTAGCTCTGCAGTCAGTGCCTTAGCCCCAGCCCTTCCTCTAGAGCAGTGGTCAGCAAACTGCGGCTCTCGAGCCTCATGCGGTTCCCGAGCCTCCTTTTGCCACTCTGTTGACTAATGAGTTTGCCCACCACGGACCTAGACTCTTGATTCCAATAATTACAGGCTGTTGTGGTTCCTTGTGATTAAGCCCCTATCCCAGTGGTCGCCACACTCGTTAGTCAACAGAGCAGCAAACCGTGGTTCGAGAGCCGCATGTGGCTCTCAGCCGCAGTTTGCAGACCACTGCTCTGGAATACCATAGTCTCCTCCTAACCCCGACTCCACCCAAGGACGTTTACAGGTTCCTCCAGGCGCTGTGGGGCTGCCGTCTTACCCTCCTGCTTCCCGCCCTGACCCCTCCCTAGCCCTCGTCGCTCTGTCTGTGGACTTGTCACTGGGCCCCCCTTCAGCAGGACTGCTTAGAGGTTAAGAGTGCAGGTTTTAGGATCGGGCGTGATTTATCTCTGCTTGTACAGGCTGTGCGGCCTTGGACACGTGGCTTTACCTCTCTGAACCTCAACCACAAAATAGACTCATAGCTCTTAAGTGATTATACTCGGGAGGAGCTCCACGGGGGCCTGGCAGAGTCGATGCTCACCGCACGCTCACTCTTACCCTGAGGGTGCCTTCCCTCCTGTGAGTGCGGGTCACCTGTCTTCCTGCTGGACTATGAAAGCATGCCCCGTGCGCCTGTGTGCCTCCCAGAGCCCCCGGCACACGGTAGGGGCCCAGGAATAGTGGGGATCGAACTCTTTAAAAAACCACTCTAAAAGGAGTGCATGGCCGAAACCTGTTTAGCTCAGTGGATAGAGCGTCGGTCTGCGGACTGAAAGGTCCTACCCAGGTTCGATTCCGGTCAAGGGCTTGTACCTTGGTTGCAGGCACATCCCCAGTAGGGGGTGTGCAGGAGGCAGCTGATCGATGTCTCTCTCTCATCGATGTCTCTAACTCTCTGTCCCTCTCCCTTCCTCTCTGTAAAATATCAGTAAAATATATTTTAAAAAAGGAGCGCACACCTGCCCGCCCTCGTGCATCTGTGATCAAGTGTCTCTAAGAATGAGCTGTGCCATGTTCGCTCCTGGCCTGCGTGTCCTGCCGAGAGGTTGGCCCACGGGGACTCGTGTTTGTGGGGTTGGTGTGGTGCCAGGGACAGGAGGTGGGCATCAGTGTCCGCGAGATGTGACTGTGAATCTTGTCGCTGCTGCTTCCGGCTGTGTGGCCTAAGGCCAATCACTCGGCCTCTCTGAGACTCAGAGGCAGAGGGCTAATCGTTTGTGGGGGGTGGCTGTGAGGGCGGGACGAGTGTGTGGTCTGATTCGTGGTCTCAGTTGCTGCTGATTTCGTTCTTGTTGCTGCCGGAGCTTCTGTTCCAATCACACGCTGCTTCATGGCTGCTTCATGACGGGGCCGGTCCCGAAGAATGCGTGGTCCTTGTGCGAGCATCACAGAGGCACTTACACAAACCTGGGTGGTGCAGCCCGCTCCCCACCTCGGCGCTAAGGTGCAGCCTGCTGATCCTGGGCTGCAAGCCTGCACAGCAGGCTCCTGTACCGAATTCTGTAGGCAACCTAGAATTGGTATCTGTGTGTCTCAGCATAACTAACACGGAAAGGTACAGTAAAACACAGTGTACAGCGTAAAACGGTGCACCTGGGCAGGGACTGACCATGACTGGGGCCTGCGGGACTGGAAGATGCTCGGGGAGTCAGTGAGTGAGTGGGAAGGCCTAGGGCCTTACTGGACAAGCTGCAGACTTTATCCCACTGTCCCCAAGTACTCCCCGGCTTCCTTCCGACAGGGTCAGAGAGAGAACACGGAGCTGTCAGCGCTGCCCCGGGAACGGGGTGGAAATATGGAGGGGAAACTGGCTGGTGGGACGCCGAGCACCATAACAGTGGCCGTCAGGAGGGCGTGAACGGCGGCCTGAGGGTCAGCAGGAATGAGAAGCCAGGACGGAAGGGGAAGGAATATAGCACTGCCAGGGCCACGTGGGTGGCTCCTGCCTGCTGGAGCAGTGGTCAGATCCAGGAACTTTGTGGTGGTTCAGGAAAAGAGGGTGTTAGCACGGAGAGAGTGTAGGACCCAGAACTCACTGTTTTGACTTTGGAAATTTGTTTTGGGTTCCACGGGTCCTATCCTATATAATAAAAGGCTAATATGCAAATAGACCGAACCGTGGAATAACTGAACAACCAAATAACCGGTTGCTATGACATGTGCTGGCCTCCAGGGGGCATGTGCAGAACATGGCAGGTATTGGCTGCGGCGGGATGGTGAAGCAGGTGAATGGGGATGCCAGACCAAGGCAGGGTGCCAGTCGCTGTCGCCAGAAACAATGTTACCAGGGCAAGCCTCTGGTGGTTACTCCCATGTGCCATGGTCCATCTGGCGCACACACTTGCTGCTGGTGCCGGCCCCACTCACACCCGCTGTCAATGCCAGAGCCGCTACTCATACCCACTGCCAGTGCCTAGTGCCGGTCCTAATCACTCAACGCCATCAGCGGTGTCTGCCAGCCTGATTGCCCCTGAGGGCTTCTTCACCTCCCCCTGCTCCTGAGGGGCAATCAGGGCAGCAGTCGCTTCTGGAACCAGCTCCAGTCACTCTGTGCCAGCAAGTGGGGCTGGCACCATCAACTAGCATGTGGGAGTGGCAGGATCAGAGCTGCCCGCAGACAGGGGACCAGGCTGCAGCAAGAGGCACCAGGCAGGGGCAGGGAAGATGGGCTGAGACCCACCCCTGTGCTTACCACAGCCTCGTGGCCCACAGTTCCTTTCAAGGGGCATGAATTCGTGCTCTGGGCCCCTCGTCTGGCATAAAAGGCTCTCTCTGGCATGGAGCTGGTGGAAGAAATAAAACGATCTGTGCTTTTCACCATCACAACCTGACAATGTTCCCAACATCCAGGGACAGGCTGGCCCCTCAGGGGAAGGGAAAACCTTTACAGGAGCTGCAATGGCACTTCATAGGGGTTCAGGTGGCTCCCGTGGGCCTGCATCCGTGGACAGGACCTCAGTTCCTCACCAGTAACCTACAGCCGGGTCCTTCGAAGCCCACCAGCTGGGCCTGGGGCTGCCGCGCCCTCTGACCATGCAGCGCTGGGGGGCGGGCTCCTCTGGGAGGAGACAGGCCAGGGGCTGAGGGACTGGGGTGCAATCCGTACGCTCAGAATGGAGGTGCTGTGAGCGAGAGGGAGTGCCACATTCCAGACGCTGTTCCCGTCAGAGAAAAAATCCCCCTGAACCACACAGCCTTCATTTCTCACAAAAAATTCTGTAATCCCGTGGAAACCCCGTCCAATAGGCGGTCAGCCTGTCGTTGACGGAAACCGCGTTCCGTGGCTCCTGACTGCCCCGTTCCTACCGCTGTCAGCCCTCTGCCTGACGGATCACTGAACAGCCTCTTTCTCCCGTCGCTCCTGGCTCAGGCTGCCCTCCTCCTCCCCCCATGACTCATGCGCACAGGGCTCTCATTGCTCCCACGAGCGCAATCCGCAGGAACCTGTTCTGATGAAGCAGGAACCCGACACCCTTTGACCTTGGCTCTTGGGATGTGGCCTGAAACTCAGGACTGCACAGCAGCAGCTGCTGCAGCCGCTGGGAGCCTGTCCCTGGGCCCACGCCCTCCCGCCGCCTGGGACTGGAACGTGGTGACAAAGTGCTTGTGGGCTGGAACTTGGCCGCAGGGCCCCGCTGAGTCCTTCCTTTGTGGTGGGAACGCAGCACGGCCCGGTCCCTGTGCATGAATGGCATGGGGATCCCGTTCCCGGGCCTGCAGCTTGGCAGGAAGAGGCTGGGCGCAGGGAGGACGGTCAAGGAGCCTCTTTGTTGTGGGGCCGGTCACGCGGCCAGACACCTCGCTGCCGAGCGCTCCTCCCCCAGCCCAGCTGGGCCCGGCGCCTCCAGGACTGTGTCTCCCGGGGCCACAGAGCAGAGCTCAGCAGCCAGGCGAGGTCCAGATCCGGCCTCTGGTTCCCAAATCACGTTCTGAAGAATGTCTGGGGCTCAGGGAGAAGGGGGCAGAGCTGCTTCCTCTTGTTGGATTTTATTTATTTTTAATATATTTTATTGATTATTTTTTACAGAGAGGAAGAGAGAGGGATAGAGTTAGAAACATCCATGAGAGAGAATCATCGATCAGCTGCCTCTTGCACACACACCCTGTGGTTGTGCTGGGAATGCACTGTAACCCCGATGATTAAATGAATGACTTATCTGGCGAGCCAAAACATTTAACCCACGTCCCACATGAATGGAGGGAAATTCCCAGCTCAAGGCCGGCACCGAGGGCGAGAGGAGGAGAGGGAGCTAAATTTTCACGAGGACCTGGATCCCGAAACCTCATCGTATGCAGATGGTCTCCCAGCGGCGAGGGCAAGGTGCCCAGATAGAACGTGATTTCCGTTCTGACCTGAGAAGGGGACCCTGTCACTCGCCCTTGGTGGGAGATATGCAAAGTGTGAGGAATAATAAATCAACACCCACGTACCCTTGACTCTTCCCCTTCTCACCCCCACCCACGTACTCCACTGGGCACCGTGGCCACGGCTTGTCCTTTCTCCTGGGCCAGGCCCTTAGTTGATTTTTCCGTGGGACCCCCGTTGAATAGGCAGTCAGTCTGTCAGGGGCTCATGGTTGGGACTGGAACTTGGTGACAAAGTGCCTGTGGGCTGGAACTTGGCCATGAGGGCCCCGCTGAGATTTTGTTCAGGACCCTGGTGTCTATGCATGCGGGTCAGATCGGCCTGCTATCTTCCTTTCTCGCCTGGTCCGTGTCTGGGTTTGGTACCAAGGTCATACATGCCGACATCCTGTGACCCAGGGGAGCGTTTTTCTCCTCTTGTAGCCTCTGGAGCAGGTAAAAGGAGGGTAGAACCATGGGAGGGTTTGGTAAATGTAGCTACGGTGTTGGTATCCCTCTGTAACCCCACTTCTTTGGTGCAGAATGTTGGCTTCTTTGGGTACAACCTTCCTTGCACGTCCCCCTACCCAAACCCATACCCGGACTCCCGAAACACAACGGGTGCTCCCGGCATGCTTAGACCGCTGTCTCTGCTTTCTTACAGGCGGGTCCTCCCTCGAGGCTGGAGCATGAAGCATTGTCCTCAGGCCTTTCGGGAGCCGCCCAGGTAACCACAGGTGAGCCCCTCTCTTAGCTGCTTCACGATTCTTCTTGAAAACCTGGGCCCCGGGTCCCTCCCTTCACCCGTGGGACGACCTTGACCATGAGCCATGGAAGGTCCAAGGCCAGGGTCCGGAGGTGCACTTGGCGGAGCTGGGACCCCTCGGGTCCTGAAGCAGCCCCCAGGCTGTTTTGGGAACATGTCAGACCCAACATGGTCCAAATCCTTCGTGCACAAAATTAGCTTCTTTCCATCGTTTTCAAAGGGAAAGAACGCCACACACTAAATATAACGCGGGCCTGCGAGCCAGAAACAAAGATAAATAGCCAGGCTGCACCTCAGGGAGCCGGGTGTTCACATCCCCCTCCCCCCAGTCCCGAGAGGCCAGCGGGACCCTGGCTCCGGGGGCAGAGCCACCGACCAGCCACCTGAGGCTGCCGCTGGCCACATCCCCCTGCCGTGAGCCCCCAGAGCAGAACCCTTATTTCACTTTCCTTTTCAAAAAGCAACACGTGCACATTTCTGGGGTTTTCCCTGAGTCTCATTTTGGCCGTGAGAAAAAGGAAGGAAAAACCAAGCTAATCCCATCACGCAGAGAAAATAACTGTAAACATCACGGTGTGTGTAATCCAGGGTTTTGCAATGCACTGTGACACGTTGAGTCACCGGTGTTTCTCAACCTCTCTTTCCCATTGTCCCCGAAGGACTCTTTATAAACTCTCTTTTGGGGATGCTCCCAGACTCCCCAACCCCCCCACCCCCACTCCTTCCCGACCACATGGAATTTTAATACCTCGGAGGCACTGTTGGTTTATGGGCCACAGACCACTCAGGTGTCTAAGATTATGACACCATCCCCCCCAAAACCAGTCCTTCCCCTTGTGGGTGATCTCACTCCATTCAGAATGCAGACTCTATACAGTATTTAATAACAAAGCTTTTCTATAAGAACTTACTGCATGCTGGTGACCTCCTGTCCCGGGTGCTTTTACTTAACGTTAACTCCCCCTACGATAGGAGGGCCAGCGAGCTTATCTCCATTTCACCGTTGTGGAAGTTGAGGCACAGAAAGGTTAAGTAACTTGTCCAAAGTCACACAGCTAGGAAGGCACAGAGGGAGGATCTGAGAGCACAGGCATCCTGGCTCCAACGTCCACACTTAACCACCCAGCTGTGTTGCCTTGTAACAACGCATTCTGATTGTAAAAATAAATAAAATAAAATAAAATCAAAATACAGAAACAGAGAGTAACAGGGACAGTTCCCAAGGCCCCTCACTCCCCAGAAGCAACCGTTGTTACACATTTGGGATGTGCCCCTCACCTGGGGTTTTTACGCGCGTTTGTAGATATGAAAATACACTGTCTCTTTTTTACTTTAACCTGAGTAGGACCATCCAGTCTTTTTTCCTCACATATTCAGATATACACATCTGTGTAGATAGGCTTTTTAAATTAGCGCCACGCTGTGCACACCATTCTTTTAACCTTGCTCTTGGACTTTAAAATGTGTCATTAGTTGCCTGGAGACCATAATTTACTAAGTGCATGTTTCATTTCGGCAGACCTAGCTTGTTGGCTGTTTAAGTCGTGTCTGGCTTCTTGCTCCCATAAAGCTGTGATGGGTATCCTCTCCTTACACATAATCCTTAGACATTGGGATTGCGGAACCAAAGACTCTAAACACTGCTGAAACTTCGGATCCGTAAATGCCAGCGCTGACCACCCAGAGAAATGGTGTGACATTGCCCATCCCAACACCCTCACCCACCCACCCTGAGGCCTAGAACGTGTGGGTCCTGGCGTGTTCCTCTCTGCCCCGGACTCTCATCTTGGGCCTGTTTCCTCCCTGACCAAATAAGGCAGCGCCTGAATGGGAGAATTCACGAGGGGGCGGCCAAAGTGGCCCCAATCGCTGGCCTAAGACACACACCATCAGCCTCCCAGGCACAAAGCCCACCTGCTGGGGCCTCACAGGTGCTCGGTTTGTGGCTTTTTCGCCTACTGTGCTAGCAAAAGCCTCAGGCTGCACCTCTGCCACTGCGCCCTCCGCCTCTGCCTGGTCTCAGGTCCACTCAGCAGAACGGGGCATTTCTAGGGCTGCCAAACCCCTCATCCTGCCTCTCGCTGGCTGTGAGCGACATTGTGAGAAACCAGTGTCCTTGTGCTTATGGCAGACTGTTCCACTGGTCCCGCTCTGTCTGCAGCAGGACCCTGTGCCCTGCATGTCACACACATGCACAACTGTGCACACACACGCACACACACACACAGGATTCTACACCATTCACATACATGCATATGCACATAGGTACACACACGTGCACACACAATGTAGCGTGTTCAGGGTGCAGGCCCTCTGGTGCCAGTGGGACATCCGTCTTGCAGAGACTTTCCATACGCCCTCCAGCCCAGCTTAGGACCCTGGCTGCCTAACTGCTCTGTTCCTGTATTTTCTTCCCACTTTATGGTTGTTCTTTGTAGACTGTTCGCTGCTGGCCCGGAAGCCCCACCCACCCTTACCCTGCTCACCCGTGTTTCTCTCGGGCCCGGAACACTGCTTCGCAGATGCACAGAAATGTGGTGGGCGAGGGAAGGGCGGGGAGAAAGGAACAGACTTCAAGCTGATGAAGGATGTTATCCCAAATACTGACAGAGTGTTGTCTAACAGAACGGTCAGTGTCAGAGTGAGGCCGTTGTTTAATGAGAAAACAGCTCCGGAGCGCTGGGTTTCAGGCAGCCTGGTTAGCGGTCCTCAGGGGCAGATCGGAAAGAATGCGGAGCTGAGAGGAGGGCCTTGCCCATCTAAACACCCGCGGGCATTTGCTGCCCGCAGAGGCTGCTGTCTCTCGGGGTCAGCACATTGAGGAGTGGTCACCAGGGAGCACCGCTTCCTCATGGATTTCCGGCCGGGTCCCTGGTCTGTTGCATGCTACGCATGACCTCTGAGTCTCCTTTGAGCTGGGGGAGGGGGAGAATCCTGACTCTGCTTTCATGCTGTTTGGACGCTTGCACTTCCATGCTTGTCAGCCTGACACTGTGAGGGAACAGATAATGGATAAGTATCTCTCTCTCTCTCTCTCTCTCTCTCTCTCTTTCTCTCTCTCTCTCTCTCTCTCTCTCTCTCTTTCACGCACGCACACATGTGAGCTTTGCTTGCTCATCCTCCTTGGCCCCTGGACGTGCCCCAGGCTAACCCTTCAGGTGACTTGCTCACATGGCCCACTTGCCGGCCAGGAAGTGGCTATGGAACCCCAGGGCAGCCGGCTGCTCCCTTGAGCAGAAGCCTCTGAGCCGCTTTGGGAAGAGGGGCACAGCAGCTAAGATGCGGACCGTCCAAGCGCCTGTCCCTTTAAGCAAAGGAGAGCCCCACATGGCTGAAGGGAAACCTGTCTTCATGCAGCCTTTGTTCATCTCATTCCCGTGATTCAGCAGACAGTGTCTGAGTCCCTGCTTCGTCCAGGCACAGAGGAGGACAATGGGGTCACAGGAAGAGGGAGCCTTGCCACACTCGTTGTTGGGGGGCCGTAGGGGCGGCTGAGCCGGGGTGGTCCCGGAACTGCAGAAAGGCCACAGGTGGGTGTGCAAAGAGGGGCGAGGTGAGCGATGAGGGGGAGAGGCAGGACCAGGCCAGGTCAGCCATGACCCTCATTCCTTTTTGGTTGTTATTGTTTTGTTAATCCTCACCCATGGATATTTTTCCATTGATTTTTTAAAATATATATTTTATTGATTTTTTACAGAGAGGAACGGAGAGGGACAGTTAGAAACATCATTGAGAGAGAAACATCGATCAGCTGCCTCCTGCACACCCCGCACTGGGGATGTGCCCGCAACCAGGTACATGCCCTTGACCGGAATCGAACCTGGGACCTTTCCGTCTGCAGGTTGATGCTCTATCCACTGAGCCAAACTGGTTTCTGCTCCATTGATTTTTTTAAAAGAGAGTAGAAAGGAGATGAAGAGGTAGAGAGAGAGAAACATAGATGTGAGAATGACACATGGATTGGTTACCTCCCTCACGCGCCCCAACCAGGGTCAGGGGTCCAGCTTTCAACAGAGGTACGTGCCCTTGGCCAGAATCAAATCCAGGACCCTTTTAGTCCGCAGACCAGTGCTTTACCCACTGAGCCAGACTGGCTTGGGCCATGACCCTCGTTCCTGGCGTTTCAGCTGCAGGAAACGGGAAGCCACTGAGGCTGGGGAAGGACCCCCTCCGGCTGGCTGCCGGTCCTGTTGGCCGATGCCGGTCGCCCCGGCGGTTCTGCTATCAGCACCGATCACGGCTGGTGCCTGCCATCGTTCACACGCCTCCCGTACTCCCGTGAGAGCTCGCTGCACTTCATGTAATTCCACTCGATGTTTGCACGACCCGCAGGCCTGACCCCTCTGGCCTCCAGCCGGGGAAGGCCTGGCTGTGCCTTTGGCGTGGGGGTAGGCGGGGCAGTGCCCGGTGCAGGCTCTCAGAGGGAGCCGAGCTGAGCTGGAAGACATCTGGGATGCATCAAAGGCAGCCCAGCCGGCTCTGGCTCCGTCTCAGTGCTGCTCCCCAATCCCTCCCAGAGCAGCCGCTGCGCTCCAAGGCGTGGCGGCCGAGCTGATTGCCTCTCCTCTGCTTTCCTTCCAGGCTCTGGCCGCCGCTGGCCGCCCGGATGCCTCGCCTTGGCCCGAGTTCCGCTGTGTTTTTAGCGCTGCACTAGGGACCCTGTTCGGTGCGGTTCGGGGTTTTTGTGGTGACAGCATCAGCGGCTGCCTTTTTTAAATTTATTTTCTAACTTGGACCCAGACCCGGGCCCGGCCCCACTCCCGCTGGCATGATGGCCCAGTCCAAGGCCAACGGCTCGCACTACGCGCTGACCGCCATCGGCCTGGGGATGCTGGTCCTGGGCGTCATCATGGCCATGTGGAACCTGGTGCCCGGCTTCAGCTCCGGCGAGAAGCCCCCCGCGCAGGGCAGCAACAAGACGGAGGTGGGCAGCGGCATCCTCAAGAGCAAGACGTTCTCGGTGGCCTACGTGCTGGTGGGGGCCGGCGTGATGCTGCTGCTGCTCTCCATCTGCCTGAGCATCCGGGACAAGCGGAAGCAGCGGCAGGGCGAGGAGATGGCGCACATCCAGCATCTGCCGGGGCCCGAGACGCACGCCCCCGAGGAGGACAGGTGAGGACGGGCCAACCCTTCTCCCCCAAATCCCGGCCCAGACCGGCCAGGGCCAGGCACGCACACACCCAGACATCGTAGCTGAGGGTCAGGGAAGGGTCTGCAGAGGGTCTGCAGAATGCGAGCAGACGGAGGGTGTGTGGTTTCATTTTCTGCACTAGCTTTTTCATCCTTCAGTGAGGAGAGCAGCGTAGTCTGAAGCTTTCCCTTCCCTCTCCCCCACGCGGGCTCTGTGAGAACACAGCTTCCCACGGCACAAGTCACCTTCCACCTCTGTCCCAGAGTCTGCCAAGGACAATGGTGTGAGCGGGTTACAGATGCACCTAGATGTGGACGTGTGTCTCCCCCCCCCCCCAGAAATGGCGTGGGGACTGGGGTGGCCCAAGCCCCCAGATGGGCCGCTTGTCCATCCCCACCCTCACCCCCCACCCCGGCGTGCTGTGGGCAGCTGCTCCGAGTGGAAATGGTTAGGAAGTGGTGTTCTCTGGGATCACAAATGCCCCAAACAGAATGAAAAGCTAGGCCATGTATTGGGGATAGTTGATAAACATCGAGGTCCCCGTCTATCAAGAGCCCTTGCACACGAAGACGGAAGACGAACAGGCCCATGGGGAGATGGACACGAGGATGCACAGGCAAGCGTTCCAGAGACGTCCAGACAGTGGATGACGTTCAACCTCATTAGCCACGCAATGCAAACCCCGAGAAGGTGCCGTTCTCTTTGCCTCTCGTGCCGGCGGCCGAGACGGACAGCCTGGGCTCTGGCGGGCTGCCGGAGGCCCCGTGACCTTGCTGAAGGGGAATTAGTGTCACAGCAGGAGGGGGTGTTAACGGTGTGTGTGCCTATCGATTCTGTTCCGAGAGCTTATAACCGCACACGTACAGAGGAGTTGGTGCCTGTTATGTTATTCAGAGACACAACCTACCGTATTTTTCGGACCATAAGACGCTCTGGACCATAAGACGCACCAGTTTTTAGAGAAGGGAAATGAAGAAAAAAGGATTCTGAAACAAATAGTGTCCTAAAATATTTTATGTGCCTTAAAACCCAACATCACAGTCATAAACACATGTAATCAACCCTGTAAAGTAAACAGCAGCATTTAGAACCATTTTAGAGCCGGGCAAGCACACAGAGACCACACAGAGCCGGGCAAGTAAAAAACCTTTCTTTTTAAAGTATATGTGTAGGCTATATTTGGACCATAAGACGCAGGGACTTTTCCCCCCCACTTCTGGGGGGGGGAAAAGTGCGTCTTATAGTCTGAAAAATACGGTAAGTATCCACCCATTGGCCTACACTGTGGCCTGCCCTTCAGCGACCTTCTGTGCAGTCACAGCTGGTCTGTACTTGCTAATTAGGGGGGGGCGGAGCCACCACCCTGAGAACAGGGGGTTACCACACAGCAGCCTGGGTGCGGGAGGCTGTGTTATAACCACAGTATTCGATGGGACAGCCGGGCCTGCGTGAGGGCGGCCTCGTTGCCTCCCGTCCTGGGGCTGCGGGGTTAGGTGGGGGCGGATCTGGGAAGGCGGGAGGCAGAACGTTAGCAGTGGAAGGGCTGGGGAGGGTTTCCTTTTCCTCACCGGGTCTTTCTGTGACTGAATTTTCTGTGAGTAGCTCGTATCTTATAGGAAAGAGCTCCTTACAGTGGGAGGGAGTTGTTTTTACTCTGGAAGAATTAAGCCAGTTTTCTGATAATAAAAGACAAGCGTGCATGTGTTAGAAAACTTGGGTAAGAGGGGCATGAACAAAGAAGGAAAATCAGTCCCCCATCATTACCCCCCCCCAAAACTACCCCCCAAAATGAGCTCACTCAGGGCAACCACAGGATTTCTGAGGCTGGCTGTTACCACCCCATAGGTTCAAGTGTAGGGCTCCGGGAGATGGCTGTTGGCATCAGTCCCTATAAATGTGTAAAAAAACACCCTCATTTGGGAGTGGGGGAAGTGGGGACGGTGTACTTCAACGATCAAATGAACGTAAGGCTGAGGGCCTGACTTACTCTTTGAGTCTGATGGTGAACCTGAGATAAAATCACAGAACAATTTGAAATACGTAGACATTTTACGTTCAGAGATGCCTTCTCTACCTGGGGACAGCCATCTTGCTTCAAGCTCTTTTATGCGTGTTTACACTGCCTTTGGCCACAGGACCAGCTGGGCACCAGAAGGGCCCTCTTGGCATGCGGAGTGTGGGACTCCCAGACAAGGAGCGATAACACCCAGATAACAGGATGTAGGGACTGAGAATGTGGCGTTTATTCAGTTCCCACCCTCTCATTTGCTAAAGGTAGGGCCGGGTCAGGTCACCTCAGTGTATCAGTTTTCCCATCCATCCAATGGGTATAATAATAGCACCTGACTCACAGGACGATGAAACGGGTCCCTAGTTGCTAACGAACTTAGCACATGGCCCGGCTCGTAGCAAACAGGGGAAGCGTTAGCTTTTAGGACTTCTGGGGCCCCATGGTTCTTTCCAAGGCTGGTCGGTCTGTGAGCCCAGGGCTAGCGCTCGATGTCAAGTCCGTCTTCTCGCGATTCTCTACGATGGAGGGTTTGCTCACACGCTTGTTGTCTTGCAGCCAGGAGGAGGAGGAGGAGGAGGCCTCCTCCAGGTACTACGTCCCCAGCTACGAGGAAGTGATGAACACCAACTTCCCCGGAGCGCGGGAGCCGGACCACAGCCCGCGGATGAGCATCTCTCTTCCCTCCTACGAGTCCCTGACGGGGCTGGACGAGACGAGCCCCACGACCCCCCGGGCCGACGCCGAGGGGCACCCCCCCGAAAGGCAGAACTCCAAGCTGGCCAAACGCCTGAAGCCGCTGAAAGTGCGAAGGATTAAGTCCGAGAAGCTCCACCTCAAAGACTTCAGGATCAACCTCCCGGACAAAAACACCCCTCCGCCCTCCATCGAGCCTCTGACGCCCCCGCCGCAGTACGACGAGGTCCAGGAGAAGGCCCCCAACGCCCGGCCCCCCGACTGACGGCCCCCCCCCCCGGGGTGCTCCCTCCTGCCACTCGCCCTCCGCACCCACAGACCCCAATGAAGCCACTCCGGCCACCGCTGAGCAGCGAGGGGACCGATGCGGACGGAGCCGTTTCGGACAGGGGTGTGGGTTGGGGAGCCCTGTGATTCTGGGGTGACGCACGTCCACAGGACCTTTCGTCACTGGCGTGCTGGGCAGAGATGCCATCTGGGATCTCATGATGCTGCAGGTCCCGTGGGGGGTGGGAGGGGTGGTCCATGGTCCCCCATTGTCTTTCCTCAACTGAATCCCTGATGGTGACAGCATCTCTCCCACCAGGACAGGATGCCTGGGGACGGGGGATAGAGTGTGGTTCGGTTTTGCCTCCACTGAGACTGTTCTGTTTCCAAAAGAAATTAAGTTATGCCTTCACTTTCTTCCCCGGAGCCCCAGACCGCGTGTAGGAACCGCTGCTCAGCTTGGCAGCGAGGGCGTGGGACCCGAGCAAAGGTCCGAGGCCTCTGGGGGGGTGAGGCCCGGGTGGGGTCCTCGGAGCCGGATGCTGTGGGTTCTTCGAGGGCCCGAGGCCTTAAGATGCTGAGGACCATAGTCTTAACCGGTACACGTGACCAGTCCCTCCCGTGTAGCGGCAGGAGAGCTGGAGGGGAAGTTCCCTTCTAAGATGCCGAGCATTTTATAATAAAGTATTTTATATGTATTATAGTACATGTGGGTGCTGAGTTACATAGCATGGAGCAATGTCAGTCATGCCAATAGCCGATACGTACCCAACACGTGCTGTACAGCAGGCGCTGTGCTAAGCACCCCACGTATGTGACCTCATGTCATCTGGACCCATTTTGTAGGTGAGCCACTAAAGGGCGGATGCCACACTGAGCGGAAGTGGCAGGGGCTGGGGCTTGAACCAGGCCATCTGGCTCCAGGGCCTGAGTTCTTAAACACGTGACTCCACATAAAGGGCTTTTCCAGACGCTGAATGCGGGCTTGTGTCCCCCCAAGAACAAGGGGAGCCCACAGGCCCCGCAGAAAGTTCTGGGGTTGGCCCTAGCCATGTGGCTCAGTGGATAAAGGACTGTGGACTGAAGGGTGCCAGGTTTGATTCCGGTTGTGGGCTTGATCCCCAGTAGGAGGTGTGCAGGAGGCAGCTGATCAATGATTGATTTATCATTGATGTTTCTTCCTCTCCCTTCCTCTCTGGAATTAATAAAAATCTTTTTTTTAAAAAGGAAGTTCTGGTGCTTAGCAGCTCACTATCTATTGGAACATCCTTCCTACCTCTCTATCCCTGAGACCTGGCCAAGAGGGAGCCCTGCCCAGAACTGCCGGGCTGTGTGGTCACGAAGCGGGTGAGCAGGTCCTCGTGGGGAGGACTGCCTGCGGGGCCCGGGAATGCAGGCCGGCTAAGGAGAACAGCCCAGAGGGCTGCGGGCTGCAGAGAGGAGGGGACGTCTGGGGAGGCAGACCTGGCTCCCAAAGGGCCTTCCTGTATTGGCACGCGTGGAGCAGCCTGTGGGAGCCTGCGTGGCTGGGAGCGTGGTTGGAAGCGTAATTCTCAGGCCCTAGATGATTCCTTAAAGCTCCTGTGGGCTGGGAGAGGCAGCCGTTAGGAGGTGAACCACTCCGTCCTGAAGTTCCAACCTTTCACTTTCCTGATGCAAATCCTATATGATAAAACCCTAATATGTAAATTGACCAAACGGCAGAACCGGTCACCATGACATGCACTGACCACCAAGGGGCAGACGCTCAATGCAGGAGCTGCCCTCTGGTGGTCAGTGCACTCCCACCTGCTCAGCCAGAAGCCAGGCTCACGCTGGTGAGCACAGCGGCAATGGCGGAGCCTCTCCCACCTCCATGGCAGTGCTAAGGACGCCTCGAGGTCCCGGACTGCGAGAGGGCACAGGCCGGGCTGAGGGAAACCCCTACCCAGTGCACGAATGTTGTGCACCGGGCCTTTAGTTACCTATAAAGAAGGGAGTGTGGGGACCTGCCTGCTGGCTTGGGAATCCTGGAGGCTGCTCTGGTCCTGCCCGCTGCTGAGCCGGTCCGTGGTTCTCTGTGTATCTATGGGCTGGGCCTGTTCTGCAGTTACTCTCCATGCCTCCTCCTGATGGGAGGGGAGAGGAAAGGGGACAGCAAGGTTCCAGTGAGCTGAGCTGAGAAGCGGCTTTTGAAAAGGACTCTCACCCTGCCTCTCTGCCCAGCCTAGACCATCCTCGGGAGAGAGACTTGAGGCTTGTAGTGGGCTGAATGGTGGCCCCCAAAGACATCAGGGACCTGAGCATGGCAAAACCTTCTGTAACAAGTCCTTAACCACATGGTTATGTGGTTAAGGATTGTGAGATGGCTCAGGAGATCCTGGATGATGGGGACACTACGTGTCACCCACAAATGTCCTCATGAGTGAGAGATGGGGAGATCCCATACATGGAAGAGGCGGTGGCCATGCGGCCACAGAGGCACAGAGATGAGTGATGCGGCCACACGGCAAGGAGGCCAGCGGCCACCAGAGCCGCAAGAGCCTGGGATGGAGTCTTCCCTAGAGCATGCAAGGGACGGCCCGCTGGAACCGTGACCACATCCAGGTGGTGCTGACGGTGGGCTCCTGGCCCGCAGAGCTCCGAGAGAACACGTTTCAGGTGTCTGAGGCCACGCCCAGCGTCTGTGGGAACGGTCACTGTGGCGACAGGAAACCAGCACGGGGCTCCAGCTTCACTCTCAGAGACCAGCCCCCTTCGGCCTGCACACTTCCCAGTGTCCCCCCACTTCCCGGGCAGGATCACTGTGGGAGAGCAACAGAGGGCCGGTTGGCTTTGTCTGTGTGGAAAGGATCGAGTCGAGGAGGAAGTTATTCACGTTGCTTGGGACATACCATGAATCGCTGGCATATAAAACATAGAGCATGGGTTCACCTCTGTTAAAACAAAGGCCGAGAGGATGTTAGCTGCAGGTTGGGATCCTGAATCTCACCGAGAGAGGCAAAGAAGTTATCTGCCATGTTATGTTAAAACCACCTGCCAGCCAAAGCCAGTTTGGCTCAGTGGTAGAGTGTCGGCCTGCAAACTGAAAGGTCCCAGGTTTGATTCCGGTCAAGGGCATGTACCTTGGTTGCGGGCACATCCCCTGGTAGGGGGTGTACAAGAGGCAGCTGGTCGATGTTTCTCTCTCATCGATGTTTCTAGCTCTCTATCTCTCTCCCTTTCTCTCTGTTAAAAATCAATAATATTAATATATATATATATATATATATATATATATATATATTTAAAAATAAATAAATAAATAAAACCACCTGCCAAAGCAGGGGTCACCTTCCCCAGGTCACCCTCGTCCTGTTTGCTCCTTTGTTCAGATCTATCAGGGCTCCATCTGTTGACTATAAAAAATAAAATAAAATCAGAAAACCCTAGTCCTTTCTTGTGCATCACATTTTGGTTCTTAAGGAAAATATAAGAGGACAGAGATGAGGGAGAAGCCACCCACTTGAGTTTGAGCCCTAAATGTGCAAGAGCAGAGAAAACGCCCACCTCGCACTCCCATCCCGCCCAGAAGAGGCATTTCGGCAGCCAGGTTGCTGTCATGTGACCTATACCCTCCAGGTCACAGCTGATTGGACCCGATATCATGTCCACCTGACCCAGGAGAACCAATCAGATGAGGAGAAGGGCTACGACCTTCTTTCCCAGGAGTTGTTCCTGGGATGGACCGAGAGGCCATTGGGTGATGTGGCCTCGGGGATCAGGGGCTGTTGAGGGCCATCCTGATGGGCCACAGGTGAGCGAAGCAGGGGATGCTGCTCTGCAAAGAGAATGAAGCTAGAAGAGGCGGACGGGCAATGAGACCTCAGACACGGCTGTCTGCTGATGACTCTCTGGTACTGGCCCCTGGGAATCCCAACTGTACTTTGGCCCTTGGGTTCTGTGAGAACAAATCCCCCTGTTTAGCTCCGCCCCTAAACTTAACCGAAGCCCTTGGAGGCAGGCACTTACCTTTGCATCGTCAGCAGTGCTGGGCCCACAGTGGATATTCCACCTGCTCTCAATTTTGACTTCCCCTTTTCTCAAACTGATGGCAGTTCTGATGAAGGGCAGCTGCGAGCAGGCAACTGAGGCAGAAGCCTGGAGCCTGGCTGAGACTGCGGGTAGAGCGCTACCTGAACCAGCTGACCTACCCGCACCACGTGTTCAGCTCCCGCTGTGGGCTAGGTGCTGTTCTCCATGGGAACGGCTCTGCTTGGGCAGTGCTTCCCAAAGTGGTCCCATGGGCTTGGGTGACAATGACCATGGTCCTGTTGGTCCGGCGATATGCATTGGGTACAAGGAACTTGAGAGCCACAGGGGAGCCGTGTGCAGGAGCAAACAGCCGTGTGCAAAAAGAGATAGAGACCAGCTGCTATGCATCCCCGGGCTGGGTCCTCCTGTGCCTGGCCACGCCCCCTACAAGAGGCCCTATGCTGCTTTCAGGAAGAGTCCCATCGTTGCCAGACAAGTCGGAGTGGGTTTATGTTACTCGATGCCAACTGTCCCGAGACGGCCTGGTTCTGGATGGACAGCGTGAGATGGCAAAGCCAAATACTCTGCAGACGCGCAGCCCACTGACCATGGCCGCCCTGGTCCCTTGAAATAGGCAGGTCAGTTCACCCACTGGCTGCACAGGCCCGTACGCAAAGGGCCCTCGTGAGGATTAATGGGCTCCTGGGCTGCCTCAGCGGCCCCGACAAGGACCCTTGGGCTCTCAGGACAGCCTGTGAGCTGCGTATTCGGGTGCAGAGCTTTGCAAGGACAGTTCCAGCCCGTCTTTGAGCTCAGAGGGCGGGACGCGGGCTTGCATTGCTCTGATCCTGGCATGGCCGCTTCCTCCAGAGGCGGGACGCTGGGCAAAGCCTGAGCCTTCACCTGCCAGTGGAGGCCACCGAGTTCAAGGTGGGCGCCCGAGAAAAATGCAGGCACCTCAGCTGTGCCTGGCATGGAGGAAGCGGCAGCTCCGTGGCAGCTGTGACTCGACCACCATCTTCTAAAGGAGAAGCCAAAGACCCAAGCCGCCTCAGCGCATGGCCTCTGGCTGGTTTCTGAAAACGCATCCTGAGAAACCCGCCCGGTGCCACGCACAGCTCGTGAGGCACCGTCACCGAAAGCCAGCTCCAGGGGAAGGGCGCAGGGCTCCTCCTTCAGGCCCGTGGGCGGCCCTGGCACAGCGTGGCGCCCGGGTGCCTGAGAGGGCAGTGCCCATCCTGAGCTGCTCAGTCCGTCTGTTTGGCCTTCACTCTGATGCCGCGCTGTCGATGCATTCAGAACCGAGGGTCTGGGACGAAGAAAGTGAACCTCGGGCGCACCATGGTTGGGATTGGAGAACCTCCCTCCTGGTGAGTCCCCAGGCGTGCTGCCCTGAGGTTGTAACGGGGAGATCCTGGTTGGATCCATCTGGAAATCCCCAAGTTCAACAGATTTTTCCCGAGCACCTACTATGTGTTCCGTGCTAAGGAGAAGCTGCAAACAAATGAACCAAGTCCCTGCTGACGCCGAGGCTACACTCTGGGTGGAGGGGGACACGTGGTAAGTTCTCACAGAACCCAAGGGCCGAAGTACAAAGTCAAAGGGTAATATGCTAATTAGACTGGACATCATTCCGGACGTCCTTCCTGACAGAGCCCGGGGCGGAGGGAAGCCAGCCCGGGTCCCAGGTGCCTGGAGACGGTCG